CATTGATTGTGATGCTTGAGCGTCATCACGATCATTCTTTAATCAATTGATTTAGATGCTTGAGAACGGCCTAAGTCGATCTTTTAAACAATCGGTCGACTTAGTCGACTAACGTCAAATCGACTTATAGTCTATTCGAAATAAGCAAAAGACCCCACTAAAATGCTATATTATGCAATTTACTTATAAATATAAATTCATGAGCAACATAGTTAAAATACAGTAATCTGGTAGTTACCCGATGTAGAAAATGAACGAACTCAAATTATGAGCAAAGTCGAAAAATTTTTTCAATACAAAATCTGACAAGTTCTGGTCAAATATTTGGAGTACAGGCTGCTCTTTACACTAATAGCTCTAATTAAAAGTCGATTAAATGTAAATACTTTATGATTTTTTCCGTATGACCCGTTGACCCGGGTAAGAGAAAAAATATATATATAAATAGTTTAAAAATATGAAACAATAAAAATTTTTTATTATAATAAAGAATATCGGTTATGTTGTAAGATACAAGTATTAGTTTAGAAGCAAAAATTGTCTTTTTACAAAATACATATAATTTTATTTTATAAGTGTTTTAATTAAATCATTACGCTAAAAATTTTCTAATATTACACTTGACCGTTATGTTTAAACGAGCCAATATAAATATATACATTATTGTTTGTTATCTAAGTTTGAATCACCAAGAGAAGGAAGGCCCAACTTTTTACAAATATCATTACATTTATGTTTAGTTAATAAACATCTATTAATCCCTTCAATACCGAGATTTGTTCTTCCGAATCTTAAAACATCAGTACAATGAATTGCCGGATCAGTTAAGATAAATTTATCTTTTAATTCAATTCCTTGAAGATCAGTAATAATTAAATATCCACCAGTTTTTTCAAAAGTAAAATGAACAAATGCTTCAAGAGTTGGACGATAATTTTTAACAAAACCACCATTTGAATTGAACCGTATAAATTTTGCATTAACAAATTCTTGTTCTACAATATAATATTCTGTCTTTTTTGTATCATTCTTTTTTGTTTCATCTTTAACGGTAGTACATAAAAGATTTACACTAAGAAAATTTACGGTTTGAATGTTTTTCTTTACTGCAATTGAATTAAATTCTATACTAAGATAACTTGTTATAGAAGAAATTTCTACGGGACCAAGATATTTTTGAAATGAATCTCCAGATATATATTTTTTAGATATATATTTTTTAATCACTATATCTGGTCGAGTGTATAAATTAGTAGTGCCAAAATAAGCATATTTTTCAGCTCCAATAGCAAAAGGTTGAGGTGCAATCTTGAAATTAAGACTCTTAGCAACTAGATTTTCTTTATTAAAAAATTCTATATCTTTAACCTGCTCTGCATTTTGAGGAATAATATAGCATAAAGTCACACATTTTCTAAAACCCATATGTTTCCAATCGGGTTTATTCTGATATACACCACAGTTTGGTTGTGAGCTTTCAAGTGTACTGGTAATAGATGATAAAATGGCAGTTACAAATTTATTAACAAGTTTAGTTAGATCACCTCTAACAAGTTTAGCCGGATCACTTCTAACAAGTTTAGTTGGATCATCTTTAACAGGTCCAATTTGATCATCCCTAACAGGTTCATCTTCATCTCGTTCAATTGGATCGTCTTTAACAGGTTCATCTCTAACAGGTTCAATTTGATCGTCTTTAACAGGTTCATCTTTAACAGGTTCAACCGGATCATCTATAATTGGTTCGTAAAGTTCATATATTAAAAATTTACCAATTATATTACGGAATATCTTATTCATAGTGTCCGTGTAACTTTTAATTTTTCCGAAAACATAAGCAATTTTCTTTAATTTCATTTTTTGCAACACATTCTTTTCTGTTAAACCATTTGGGTCACCATCTGGATAATCATCATCTAAAAATTGAGAAGGATCACAAAACTTTTTACCATGGGGTGGAGCATCCCCAATATGAAAAAGAATTCGAGTACCACCTTTCCAACTCATTTGAGTTATGGCAGCATTAAGTCCTCCTAAAACATCTTCGGAAAAATCACCACCACCAAAAGCTTTTACAGTAGATAAATTTTCTCTAAATTCATCGCAAGAATCGGTAAAATCAAAAATTTTTAGACGATCATTTTCATCACAATAATCACGATATCCACAAAATCCAAGTCTAAGTTGAAAGTTTGGATTTATATTTTCAACGTAATCTGACACTTCCAGAATACAATCCTTTGCAGCGGCAATATGATTATCCATAGAATCTAAATGAAAAATTAAAAGATAACAGAGATTAATAATTGAATTTAAAGTAGTAATAATGTAAAATATGAAAAAAGAAAAGTTACATACCAGTACAATCTAGAACAAAACAAAGGTCAATTTTCATAGAGTTATCGATTTTATCAATTATTTTCTTTATACTACATTCTTTTTTATCTATATTACTTTCTTCTCCATCTTTATTAAGACCTTCTATATTGAGGTCCAATTTTTCAAAGACATTTAAAAACCAGGGAGGAAGAGCTAAAATATTAATAGTTGTCTCGTAGTCATTGTCTAATATAATGGAATTTTTTGCCTCTATAGGTCTATTAAAATCATCGGAAATCCCTTTTATAACCTTTGGAGGATTTTTCTTTTGTACCATTTTGTTAAAAGAAAGGTTCAGTCAGATTTAAATGTTGCGTTTTTTTTGAATGATATCGATTTTTATATATCTTAATTAGAGATAAGTACGCACTATAAACACCGATATGAATTTCCTAAATTATTAACTTTAATAACGTAAAACTATAATTTTAATTTTCGTGCTATCTCGATAAACGATACATATTACCTGAAAAGTACATATATAATTCTTTTCGAATCATTGTGATCAAGTTTGTCATTTACACTTTTTTTTTCGTACGTAGTACTGTAATCAACCTAAAAAACTTTCGCTATTACAATATTAGTGTTAGCGTTAGACTTTGTTTTGATTTTATGTACACCTGACCTTAAATTTTTATTTTTAGGTTGGTGACAAATCTTTAGGTAAAAAAAAAGCCAATGATTGGCTAAATTATAATTTATTCCCCTACTACAGCCAAAATTAGGTATGTACATACTTTACAGAAACTAACTGCATACGTAGTAACGAAGTAGTAATTACATAATTATATATATATATATATATATATATATATATATCATATATTAAATTTAATATATATAGTTACTATGCAGTTACTACGCATTGAAAGATTAAGTTTCTGCATAGAATGTACAAAGTTTAAATTCATTCACCAATAATATGTATATTAGTAATATTTATATGAGAATTTTCTTTTTGTCTAAACTGAGGCCACTCATTTTACTAATCCTTGTTCGCCTTGTCGAAAGACGAACCCCTTATCATATTTCTAAAAAGTTCAGTTTTAATAAATTTAGTATTAAATATAACAAAATTTTTTTTTTTACCACAAAGGTCAAAAATATTATTGCTCTTTGGGAATCGGAGATTCTATCGATCTTAAGAATTTTATCGATTTCAAAGAAATATAAACGTAACTGTTCGAAAATTTTTCCGATCATCACAAATCATGTGGGCACGTCTTTTTGGAAAGCACTATAAACTTAATATATAATACAAAATTAGAAATGATCGATTTAATAAATTTTAAAACTACGTATATGTAAAGATGAGGAGAAATTTATATTTACTTATTAAAAAATAAAAGTAAAAGATTTTAGTTGGATGTTAATTGAATTTAAATAATCACATTTTAAAAATGTTCCAATTTATATGTAATCCGATCACTAATTAATGTGACCAAATTATTTCTTTGAATAACGAATAAATAAATAAAAATCGTGATTTTGCAAGTTTCAAATTAATCAAAACGATACTCGAGCTTAGATCAAAATTTACATGCATGATTTTGGTGGCGATACTAGGTGAGTTCTGTATTATCAAAAATTTTAATACCGTAGTGGATATATTTTTTTCAAACTTTGAGCGAAGATTTCTTATTGCGCTTTGCAAAAAGATGTGACCTCTGCTCGTGTGATGATCAGATTTTAAGAATGCGTATTATCGATTTCAAACAAATATAAATATAACTGATCGAAAATATGAATTAATAGACAATTTAGAATCTCAGAAATTTTTCTCGATCATTATCACAAAAATCACGGGTTACATCTTTAGAATCATTTTTGAATTCTACTTGTCTGTAGATTTTGAAAATAATTACAAATATCAAAAATAAACAGAACATTATTGAAGTACTTTAGTTTGTAAAAATTTAAGAAAACTAAAATTCCCATTATTATTCGACTATATAAACGACCAATTCTTGTGTATTACTAGATTTAGTATACAGTAAAAAAAGCAAAAATCAGGGAATTTTATCTGTAATTACGTAAACTTGGAATTGTAAAAACTTTATCTCAAATTTTATTGCTACATATGTCGTACGTCGAAATGGAATCTTGGTATAAAATTAACTTATAAGTTGACTCAATACATTTAGGTTAAAATGAAATTTGAATTTATTCAAAACGGTAAAGAATTATGTAAAATCAGGAATTTTACCGATATTACTAATTGAATCCACTTAGCGCATATTCAATTTTAAAATAAACCCATTTAAATTCATTTTAAACAGCAATCTATTTATGCATGTATTCTATTTATATATTATTACAGCAAGGCAATTTTGCCTTTTTACATTTGTAATTTCATTACCTATTTGTGACACTTATAAAGCTTCGTACACAGAATTTTCTAAGGAATATTATCTAATTCGGAAATTGTTTATACCTTAAAGTAGCTCATGTGACGAATATAATTATTTTTGTCGAAATTAAATCAACTTGAATTTCAAAATTTACAGTATAGAAGACTTGAATAAAAATTTTAATTACAGTATATATCGTGTATATTAAACATCCCTGACCCGCACTATGCCAATTTTGGCCTACATTATGTCGATCTTGACCAGCATTAAATGCGGAAAATAATTTATAGTCAGACTCTTTGAATTCTAAATGCATATTTGTATACGTGACCTCCATAAATGTACTTTTTCTTATTATTTTCTAAGTGCACGTTGTTAAAGTTTGTCCCCTTGGAATGCATTTAGAGAGGCCTGATTGTAGAAATATTTTTGTTGAATTATAATGCATTAATTAAAATTTACAGTAAATCCATTTACCGAAAATAAACACTATAAGGTTGCTTATTTTCGGATATAATCTCAACTAATAATTTGAATGATTTGACATTTAGTTACTTATTTCTATTATATAAGAGGTGCTTATTTTCGGGTATATATGAATTGCAGGGGTGCTTATTTTCGGAGGAATACGGTAAATTTGAATTCTTTAACCAAGCGAGCGAGCAACACAGTTGATTCGCCCACAAAAATTTGATTTTGACTTACAACATAAATAATGTAAATCAAATTCCTTCAATATATCTTTAACCTTGTTTTTAATATAAAATATAATGATAAGAATATAATGAGGATTATTAAAGAGAACTAACAGTACTACATGTATTATTTAAAAAATATTACTATGCAATAAATGTTACTATAATCCAGACTTTTTTCATTTTTTGTCATTATTTTCTTGTTTATAAACATTTTCCAAGTCTTCCAAGTATTCAATATCAAATATACGTTCACTTAAAAATAATTCTAAAGCATTAAGCCTATCTTGCAATTGTTCAGCTTTAGAACTGCTTGTAAAAGGAATCACTTCTAAAGCATCTTTTAATTTTTTACGAGCTTTAGAACGAAAACATGGACAACTTTGTACACAGCCAAATGGACTAAGTTTATCGATACCTAATCGAACAAATTTTTATATTAATTCAAATGTGTTAAAAATTTTTAAATTGACAAAACATTTTGCTTTATTACCGAATAGAAAAATATATATCCCTACAGCAATAGTCCATAAACTTCCGATCAATCCGAAAGTACTTAATAACTATCAAAAAAAAAATAGTAAATTTTTTTTTAGTTATAACGAAGATGGTATGAACTATAAATATTATACAGACTTACAGTTCTTGTTCTAAAAAAATATAGAAAAAATTAGAAATTTTTGTTAAATTAAATATGATTGATAAAATGCTCACCTTTGTTCAGTTAGTACATTAACTACATAATTTTGTGGACATATTTGAAGCACAGATGTATATCCTCCTGTATTATTAGAGTTAGGCAAAGGCACCGATTCTAAAAAAAAAAAAGGTTAAAGATACTGTAATTACATTAAAAAGAGAAATAAAGCATAATAATTTATATTAATCTTGCTTACGTATAACAGGATCAACATACGAACTACTAATCAACGTTGGGGCAAATCCTAAAAGGTCTTTAAATCGTGGTGATATTATATTTCGAATGCGTCGCGTAAAAAAAACAATTTGTTCCTTTAAAAAAATAAAATAGGTAAAACAATATATAAAAGAAAAGTTTATGAAATAACAAGAATACACAGTATCTGTTCGATTATTAAATTCATACTTGATTATTTGCCATTAGAATATTGGTATATAAAGCACTAATATTATTAGAATTATAAAGTTGCGTTAATCCTGTTTGATCTATTTGCCCATTTACAGGATGTATTGGACTGGACTCTAATGAATAATAAAAAAATGTTACTTATTATAACAATTTCATAAAACTTAAAACATTTTTAGACAAATCTAATATACCAATATCAGTAACATATGTATGTACAAATGGAAGCCCATCATTATAATAAGAAAAATCATTATATTGACTAGAATTCATGCTTATTCGTATAAATCCTGTACCCGTTGGCATCAAAGAAATATCATTTGCCATAAAATAAATCACAGACACATTTAATGAGTCAATAAATTGTATTTTTGTCAAATATTTGTCACATGAGCCTTTGAATGAACTTAAAATCGCTAATTGATAAATAGATTTATGTCTTAGTCTTGAATATAATACTCGGACATAATTATTAAAAAAGTCAAATATAATAAAATCAATAAAATGACTTCTTACATCCATAGACGCATGTCAAATTAAAAGGAAACGGATAACTGAATAATATAGCTGAAATATAAAAATATAATATACTTAATTATTATTATTATTATTATTATTATTATTATTATTATTATTATTATTATTATTATTATTATTATTATTATTATTATTACTATTATTATTATTATTATTACTATTATTATTATTATTATTACTATTATTATTATTATTACGTACTATTACTATTATTATTATTATTATTTAGTATCACTCAATCTACATATGCTCATAATTCATGAAAGATCGTACCAGGTACAGGAAGCTTATCCACACTTGCAAAGGTTTGTATTATGGTCGGTGCTTCTGCCGTTATTTCAACAACCAAAATCGTGAAATAGGCCACTAAGCAAATAACCAATAAAATTACTGACAATCCTCTCAGCAACCGGATATTGGTTGGCTCTATTTTACGGTAGCGGCAAAATAAATCTTGAAGAATCATTTTTTTGTGTTGGTTGCCACTCAATAAACGAAGATTATTCTTATTTTTTTTTTGCAATTAAGGGCTTATTTGTTACTTTTTATTATTATTACTTGAACTGGCATTTATATACATTCGCAGCTGTCTAAGTGGTGTCTTTCTCAATGATTTTGTCCCCCATAACACCATCTACCATCCGAGTGTTAACCTGTCAGGATTATCATTCAGATACTAATTAATATAGTAATTAATACATAATTGGTCATATCGGGAAGCTTCTAAAAAGAATAAAAATGTACCACGTACGTACAGTTAATAGAAATTTCCTCATTCGTTTCTTTTAAACAAAAAATTCACCATTTTGTTTGGTCGGATGCGACGAATTATCTCATGTTACTTGTCGTACCTCGGTTTAAAATTGAGTCGCGTAAAATTAAATTTTGACTCTGAGGTGCGTCAGACTGGTTTTGTTGTTTATGCGTCATACTGAAATACGCATGCACTTCTGAAATCTGTGCCAGGTTATATCGATCACCGAATCGAAAAGCACTAAGCACAGGTTTTAATTTACTTTATATTTGATATTTAGGTATACTCATATAACTAAAATTTCGTGCCGAAAACTTTTGTTTAGAAGTCAAACTACGGTTATCATAGTAAAATCTTGAG